CGGGCGCTGCGGGGAGCCCGCCGGCGCGGCCCCCTCTGGTCGCTGTCTGTCTGTCTGTCTCTGGCATTGGGCACTCCCAATGACATATTTCGTTGTGGTGTTTTCTGTTTAGATGTAAAAGAGGGACCTCTTAGAGTTTTGTAGAAGCGCCCGGTTGCTTTGAGGATGGGGGCCGCAGCGTGGCGCAGGGCTCCGCGAGGACCGTCTGAAGGGCAAGTGCGCCCGCGCGCGGTGCCCCGCGGAGCTCTGAGCACGCCGGGAATGAGGGATCTCTGGACACGGGAGGCTGCAGACGCTGTACACAATCACATGTTCACACTTCACCTTTTCAGCATTATTTTCTTCACTGATAAAAATCTTGCAGGCATGACTAAGAAAAACGTAATTCCTAGAAAGCTCAAGGGCAGGGCGAGGTTCTGCGGGTCTGAGCAGCCAGGAGGCCCCGCGGAGGCCGCTGGTGGCGAGGAGGCGGTGGAGGCTCGGGAGGTGGGGGGGTGCTCAGGGAGGGGTGGAAGTGCCAGGGTCTGTACCATCTCTCACGGAATCGATGCAGAGCTTGAGGCCAGTATGAATGATTTTCGTTGTCATCGAGCCGCAGGTTGGGTTTTCTCAGTCACCAAATGTCCAGGCTGGGCCTGCTGGTCCGGCCGCTTGTCCTGACCCAGGAGATCTAGGATGCAGAGCCCCCCAGACATAGACCCGGTGTGTCACGGCCGGCTTTCATCTTAGAAATGCCGCCCTCCTCTTGTGTTTGTGAGTTTCCTTTCGTGCATGGCTCTCCTGACTTCATACCGCACCCGGGTAGGAGAAACTCTGTGTCCTGTGAGGAGCCTGCACATGGACCAGCGGCTTTCTCAAAGTGCGGGACTGGTTCTCCGGCCCGGGAATTATGACACACTTTTGATTCCATGGCATCTCTTCCATCTCCCGAAGATGATTCAGTGCCTACAATGTACGCATATGTTTTTATTACCAGAAAATGAGAACTTGAGCATGTCATACTCTTGAAAATTGGGGTACCATCTTGTAGAACCCCATTTTGTCTGCCAGGGCTTGAGACCCTGCCTTGAGTGCTGACTCAGCTGACCAGGCATCTCAGGGAGCCCCAGGCGGGAGCCAGCACCCAACCCGAGTGCCGGGGCCTGCAGCCCGTTTCCTCACGCTTGGCTTCCTACTTCTTTTCTCAGTTTTGGAGTTATTTCATATTATTATTCATATTATTTCATATTATTCCTTTGCCATATATTTTCTGCTGAAGTAACTGCCTTAAGAGATTTTCCGTTAGTTTTTGGAGATAATACGAGATACGGAGTGGAATCCTATTTAGTGTCAGTTAATAGAACATTTCAGTTACATTGTTGCAGCGACTGGACATCAAGTCTCCTGGATGTTTTGCTTTATTCTGTGTTTGAGGAACTGAAGCTTTGTCTGTAAGAGCCCAGACACAGGCCAGCCGGGTCAAATCCGGGATGAGATTGCTTGGTGGAGACTGTGGCACCCAGCGGGTGGGTCTGGCGTCGCATGGGCACCGTGAGCTGCAGTGGGCGTCCTGGTCAGGTGATGAGGCTCTTTGGCCTGACGATGCTACTCCATTTCCCTGGAGGCAGAGCTCTCTCCATATTTCAGGGAGGCCCATTCCAGGATTTTGCTGGCTTAGTGGCTAAGAGGCAATTTGGCTCCAAAGCATGCGGGG